CTGTAGCTGCGTCCGGATGGCTCAGAGGGAATGCTCGCTGATATGACGAGAACTCCTAAATAGAGGAGATCTTGGATTCGAATCCTCCACTGCTGGGGAACTTTGCAAATGCGGTGTATGGTTTCTTTGACGACACTGGCAAACGCCCTGAGTGCTCTGAGTAGTCCGGCCGGCCCTTAAAGCCACTGATCCTCCTCCAGCTCTCCAAGTGATGGACAGCTGGACGGGGGGGGGCTGCAGTTCCCTGCGACGAGGGTAGCTGAGGGGCTCCCATTACATGACTCGAAAAGGTTTGGGCCCTAGAGAGAACGCAGCTGAGAGGCCGCAGCCAATTCGTAATTGTTGTTGGTAACAGGCCTGTCAGACCTCAATAGAAAGACAAGAAAAGAACAGAAACGAGACAAATATCCTTGGTCCGTCCAGCGACGGTTTATCTTTTATTTTTTCCCCGGGATCAAACCTCAAGCGATTTATATATATTCGTGGATTTGTACCAGTCATGCCAGGTATAGGTACCACCGGTGGATCACAACAGGCCGACCACACGAAATATTCAACTTCCCGTTACGATATCCTCAAAGACTGCGGCGGCTTCGACAACCTCCATCGAATCTCTGGTGCACCAATCACTACCTCAGAGGCTTCACGACCCCAAAAATGGGACAAACTGCTCCATGCATTTTTCGCACCCCAATCTTACGCACCTCGAGCTCGGCATTTTTGAAAACACTTGAGAGTTCAGACCCATGTCACGGGTAGAGCTCATATCTGAAAGAGCTAATTTTGAAGTTAAGGGCCACCGTACACTGAAAATAGCAAGTAGAGTAAACAAACTTCTCCAAAACGGAACCTTCTAAGAAAGTGGAATTCTTCGAGAGCTGGTTAGCTGGCTGCACTCCAGGCGCGAGCGGCTGTCTCTCACAGGCACAAGCTGTTGGGCGCATGGATAATTTACCTGATCCACTACTTAGCGAGGGGTAACCACTCGCTGCTACCAGTCAGCCAGCGCCCGCAGGGAATTTGTACTCGATATGCAATATTGAATAAAGTTTATTTTAAAACACAAGAAAAAGTATACGACATTGGATAGGGTACAAACAACAGAAAATAGTATATAAGGCATACACGATAGTACTATCAGGTCGTGCAAAAATAATGACCGTTTTGAAGCAAATTTTTCAAAATATGATAACTCGCTTCAAATTGTTCTTTTCAGTGAAATAACGACCGAAAGAATCAACACATTTCTGTCAACGAGAAGGCAGTTTAGATATCCCGGCAACTCTATTGAAACACCCGCTGGTGAGCGAACTTGGCTCAATGGGCATGAGTGAAGGATGCGCATTAGCTCATCGGGCACGCCATGCCGCCTCAAAGCTTACCATATAAAGTCACGTGGCACACGATCGAAGGCCTTCTCCAGGTCTAGGAAGGCTACATGCACGGGCTTCCGCTTCTCACGGTGTTTCTCCAGCAATAGGCGAGCGGCATGTATGGCGTCGACAGTGCTACAACCCGCCACGAAGCCACATGGTTGGTGGAAAGCTGGACATCACGAACACGGGCGTCAACAATTCGCTCGAAGATTTTCATAGCGTGCGAGAGAAGGCGAATTGGACGGTAGTTCGAGCACTCTGCCGGGTTGCCCTTCTTCTTTCAAATCGGGATCGTCACGCTCTGCTGCCAGTCCTTAGGCACCTTCCTCTCTTCGACGATCTGGTTGAAGAGTTTCGTCAAGCAACCCGCAGGAAACCAGCGTTGTGACTTCCACAAATCAGCTGCGATGTCGTCGGGGCCTGTTGCTTTGCCGGCCTTCATCTTTCTCAGAGCAGCTTCGGTTTCCTGTACGGTAATCCTCTGAACGGGGCCATATGTTAGTGCGGTACAGGGTATAGCGGGATGGGTGAATTCCACGGTTGAGATGCCCTCGAACTATTCATGCCATCGTTGCGATACCCTTCCTCGGTCCATCAGAAGTTGCCCATTCTCATCACTTATGCCAAAGAACTTCTCAATGTCTTCGGTTTGGCGATGACGAAACTTGGCGAGTCCGTACAGATACCGCTCACCGTCGCGCGTCTCCAGCTTCTTGCTGATATCATCGAAGTGAGCTGCCTTCGCAGCAGCCACGGCCGTCTTTGCCACATTCCTCGCTTCTCGATACTGCCGCCAGTTGTCAGCTGACTTCTGCTCGAGAAACGCGTGATAGAGCCTCTTCTTTTCTCGAACCTTGGCTTTGACATCATCCGTCCAGAGCCACGCGTCTTTGTCAATCCTCCGCCGTCCAGGCTTCGTTGTGCCGAGTTCGGAGCGGGCGGCCTGGATTATAGAATTAACGGCTTCGTTCCAGGTCCCCTGAACAGTTGTGACTTCAGGTAGTCGAATACGAGAAATCACAGCTGCCTCCCGCTCTTTCAGCCGCCACCACTTGATTCTTTCAGGACCTCATAGCTTCGTTCAGCTACCTGTCTCCGCCTGGGAGCTACGAGTCTGAGCGTGCAGATCAGTGGGCGGTGCTGCGTGGCAACCGTTTCATACGGTACTACCTTAGCGTCTGTCACGAGTCCTTGGTCGCCATGCCTGATGAGTACGAAGTCTATTTGTGTCTTAGTACTCCCGCTGTAGAACGTGATGAGATGGGAGTCACGTTTACGGAATCTTGTGTTCAGAATGACGAGGTTATGCGACTCTGCATACTCAAGGACTCGCTCACCATCGGCGTTCCGTGAACCGTAGCCGAATCCGCCATGACAAGCATAGCCGTCTTTTGCAGCGCCCACGTGCCCGTTTAAATCGCCGGCTACAGTGATACCGTCTTTTGGTGGCACTTCAGCCGTCTTCTCGTCCAGCAGAGCCCAGATCTCGTTCTTGGACTGCTCAGAGCATCCAGTTTTGGGGCATATGCGGAGAAGAAGTGGTACAGCCGTTGTTCAATAGCGACAACAATCTTCATCAAACGGTCGTCGAAACGAACTACGCTCATGATGGAATCGCGTAATCGCTGAGACACGATCACGGCCACACCACTTGTAGTTTTCGGCCCGCCACAAAGAACGGCTTTGAAGCCTAGACCTAACTCTTTCGACTTGCGACCAGCCCATCTCGTTTCTTGCACGGCACAGAGGTCGATCTTTCTACGCTCTAGGACTTCTGCTAACTCGTACGAGCGTCCAGTCAGCGTCCCCACGTTCAGCGTCGCAACACGAGCCTTTGACACACTGCACGTCTTTTAGACTAGCCTAGTTGCCCCCCGATGCCGTCCTTGCATCGAGGACCTCGCATATTTTTCACACTCGTCGGGCCTCGCGAGTGCGCGTCGGCTCCCGCGAACGCCGTAGCATTATCGAATTTCATAAGGCATAGTTAAACATGATGATGTGACATGGGGTGTTTGTAAGCCGGCCCGTCACGAAGGCCTGTCGCCTGCATTCGTGTTCGTCCGCGTTCTGCTCAGCCCGCAAAAGCGATCAGGTCCCGGTGGCACCACTTGGAGGAACGGACGTCACACCAGTTTCGGAACCACCTCTCGCGTAAGGAAATTCCGGGATGCTTTGAAAAAAGGATAATCCGTACGGAAAGGGTCTGATGAGTATGGAGGATGGTCGAGAGTTTCATATCCCAACTCCATCAGTTTTCCGTTGTCATCAATGAAACATGCGGTCGGGCGTTGTCATGGAGTAGGATGCGCCCTCTCTGTTGATTAATGCCGTCTGAATGATGCAATTTTCGTGCAATTTTCGATTTCCTCGCACTGCTTCTCCGCTGATGGTTTTTCTTAGAGCCAGGGGGCTGTGGTGGATCAAACCGGCTGTAGACCACTAAACAGTCACCATAACCTTTTTTGGTGCAACTCGGACTTTGAAGAATGTTTGGGAGCTTCGTCGTGATCCAACCACTGTCCTGACCGTCGTCTATTGTCGTGTTGAATACATTATTCGTCACACGTCACTGCTTCGCAGAAAGGGATCGTTTTTGTTCCGCAACACATGAGACGAACATACTTAGAGATAGCACGATTGCTGGTGCTCAGTTAACTCATGCGGGACCCACTCGTCAATTTTTTTACCTTCACAGTTTTCTTCAAATCACGTGCTAGAGTTCCGAAGCCAACTCCCAGCTCTTCAACAATTTCCCTTGTGGATGCTCTTAGGTTGGCTTCTATCTGTGCCTTCAATTCGTCGTCTTTACTTCCCATGGCCGACCGTGTCCCTCCTGATAATCCATGATGGAGTCTTCATTTCGGAATTTGTCGAACCACCCACGTGGTGCGCTTATTTGTGGCACCATCGCCCCATGCGCTGGTGATAATCCTAGCTGCTTCTGCAGCATAATGGCCGAGTTTGTACTCGTGAAGCATGATGAGTCGGTTTTCGGGTATTGATAACATCTTCGCTGGTAGCCCAAAATCGCAGAAGAAGTGGTGGCAGAGAAAAGGGAAAAATTTGTACGATACCTAGGAAAATGTGCTTCCGAACGATATACTAAATTACTATATTTGCCTGAGTTCTCAATGAATTATGCTCAGTGTAACATAGCAGGTGCGAAAACGGTCATTATTTTTGCCACGACCTAATAGAAAGCTCTAGAGGCACCTAGAGCGAGATCAGGTGATCTCGTAAACAGGGGCATCGCTAATGGTAGCAGGAACGGCCTGTAGGCTCCGCACCTGACAGACGGTCAACTCCTCTCACCGTCCTTCTGCAGCTGCTCCAAGCCCTGAAAAGCTTACATGAGTCATACGAAAACATTAAAGCGCCGAGCCATCCGGTGCAGTTTACCTCTTGTCTAACTCGCATTATAGGAAATCACATCTAAGGATCCCATTTACTGGTGTACCAATGATGCAGAGATGATCTGGAAGCAAGGCAAGCAAGGCTACAAAACTGCGTAAGTTCTGTGAGATTGCATTTAGTTCTCACCCCCAATTTGCAGGGAGGAGCGCCGGTGGAGCAGATGCTGCAACTTGTGATACAGACACCAGAGATCCTTTGAGATCATCGATGATTCCTTTAGCTGTGGTATGTTCGACTTCACAATTTTGGACGCTCAAATTTTCAGTTTGCACAGCGGTTGCGTGTAAGACTAGTGTTATAGCTACTAAGCGCTACTCAAGAAGCAACCTAGAGTTCGGGGGTACTTGCGATAGTGGCACAGCCCGGTCTTGTTTTCCACAGGCACGACTCACGATCTTTCAAAACATGGCGCTATTTTTCGCAAATAATGCACACTCACGTCCACAATCAACCAGAGCGAACCTATCTCAGTGCGAGAAGACGCTGCAGTGAGAGAGTAGCGCAGAAGGGGCCGCATATCTCATGCGCGGACTCCACCATCCGAGTCGTTCCGACCAGCGCCAAGCCTTACAAAGGAGCTGGGAATTCATGAGCTTTGGATTTCATTGGTGGGTAAAATTGAAACATACGTTGTTCATGGTCTGTTTCACTGTAATTCACGCCGGCCGCGGGTACTTTATAGCGCTGCTGTGTGTGGGGCAGTCTGCAGCACTTTTGATAGATTATTGCAGGTGGAACAGCCACTACTATGCTAAACGAGCGAGCAATGTACGACCTGACAATGGGTCACTTCCTATCAGCAAATTCCTGAATACGACCCTCCCCTTTAGGAAGGGTCTCGATACGAACCACAGCTCCCCCACCCCTTGTATGCTGCTAATCTGGTAGCAGCGACCAGATCAGCAGCGGACGAACAACTACCGAAAAGACTGCAAAATAAACGACAAAAAAATGACTCGACGTTAATGCAGGGCAAATATGAGAAACGCGATGGAAACGAGGCATCATCCTACTATCTACACTGGTGTGCAAAACTTAGGGACGAGATGGATAAAGTAACATAAAACACTAATGACTGAGTGGAAGTAAGTGAAGTGTGGAAGCATGTTGGTTAGACTTTTCTCGGGGAAGAAGAGCTTGAATAAAGGGCCAAATATGGCCGACCGCGCAATTCGAGGCATTCTATGGGTATGAAAAAAAATTTTTTTTTTCTCAATCAGAGAGTACTGCAAAAGAATTGTGGTAGCATCCTTCGATACATCATGTCCCAAAGAGAAGCATCTGAATGACTTTTAGTAGAGGAAAGATCATAAAGGAAACCCGAAGAAGGTCGAACCATGACGAGTGTAGGCCAGGAGTTCGGTATCGCTCACAGCGTTGTTTCACGTGCATGGAGAAATTCCGAACCTTTGGTAGCTGCTGCCCGAAGACGAGGAGGTGGCCGACCAAGGACAACTACACAGGGGACGACCACTACATTGTGCAGCAGGCAAAAGAGATCCTCGTCAGTCGGCTTCGGCTATTGCAACGACGTTTTACAGGACTCTAGGGCAAGCCATCTCACGCACTACGTGGCAAGACGACTGCATGGTGGTATTTCTTCGCCGATGACAGTTACGTTGTGTTCCTTTGAACCAGCGCATCGGCGAGATCGTTTAGGGTGGTGCCAGGAGCATGGCGAATGGACCATTGAGGAATGGAGCCGTGTGCTCTTTTCGGATAGAGCACGTCAGTCTGAGATTGATTCTGGACGCACTCTTATATGGCGAGAGGTGGGAACAGGCAACTCCCCCGGAACATTGTCGAACGTGATCGTACTGGTGGTCGGAGGTGTTATGGTATGGGGAGGCATCATGTTTGCATGGCCGTACTGATCTCCAGATTTTTGAGCATGGGAACCCTCACCAGTCAGCGTTACTGCGATGAGGTACCCCCCCCCCCCCCCCCCCCCCCTCTTCGCTACATCATGTCGCGTGCTTTTCAGAGCTGCAATCGGCCCTGACTTCATTCTCATGGATGACAATGCGCGACCGCATCGAACAGCACAGGTGGAGGAGCTTCTAGAACGAGAGGATATCCGGCGAATGGAGTGGCCCGCCCGCTCCCCCGACCTAAATCCCATCGAGCACGTGTGGGATGCACTGGGTAGACGCATTGCAGCACGACCAAATGCACCAATAACGATCCAGCAAATGAATGAATGTCAAATGCACTGATTGAGGAGTGGAATGCTTTTCCCCAAGAACTCATTACCAACCTCGTGGAGAGTACGGAATCGCGGTGCAGAGCATGTATTACTGTTCGTGGTGATCACACACCCTATCGGAATCCGTGTAACTTCTTTTATAGTACAGGATGAATCGTGAAGACTTATGTGTTATCGAAATGGTGGAATAAAAATGTCATAACAATTGCTTTTATTCCGAGTTTCTGTCAGTCGCTTTCTGTACGATACCGTTAAGGTTCCCTCTTGATATGATATGAATTTCATCGAGCTATGTTGGCTGGCAGAGGCACAGTGATCGAAAGTTGCTTTTGGCCCTAAGTTTTGCACACCAATGTACAGGGGAGCCAAAGAAAAGTCACTTTGCCTCATGGACTTTCGAGGCGCTATAAGTTACACTTCATCAAATTCTGATCGGACATTTTTACTAACATATTGAGGAGCATATTAGGTACTATCACGACACTCCGCCACAGCCTTCTGGACGAATGCCATCGAGAGATTCTGGCACCCGCGATATGGTACCTGAGATCAGCGAGGTAGTCGATTTCTCCGCCTAATTGATGGGATTCAGGTCAGGTGACCTACTTGGATATTTCATCTTCCTCAGGTACGAAACGCCCTTCCATCCGAAGCAGGCGGGAGTTTTTCCAAAACCCTTTGATTCCATGTGGGGGCACCCAAGCCTGTAGCAGCACAAGGTCTCCAAGAAGGTACGGGCGACCACATGTAGGGAGGATATTCTTCGCGAGTTAATTGATGTAACCGCCAGCGCTCACCTTTACGGGGTCTACCAAGAAAATATCTGTCTTCCCATTCCATGTACCCCGGTCCATACCATCAACTCGCGCCTCGGCGACTACGGTGAAGATGATGTCCTAGACCGTAGTAAAGTTGACGAAGCTGCTCGATGTTGGGGGTCATCCATATTGAGAGTACTGGTCCCCAGGTAGCTATCCATGAGTGACTTCATACTAGAAGTTTCGCAGCAGTTTGTAGGTGACATGAGTTCCGAAGGTCTTCTCCAGTCAGGTTGCGACAGCAGATGACTTCATATTTTGGTGTACATGAAGGTGGTGGGCGTGAGCCAGCTCCTGTTTATAGAGGAACATCTTGGATATCTTCCGCCCTGGTACTCGTATCCACGTCCTCTGTCTGGGCTGCAAAAACTTTGCTGATATGTGACTTGGTCAAAGTGACTTTTTTTGGGTCACCCCTGTATAATCCGCTGAGGGCGTCTGTGTGTGCGTGTGTCTGTCTGTCTGCCTGTGTGTATCACGAAATTCATAACACCTGTCCCAGAAGCAGAGAAACGTCGATTCCAGGAAGCGATATAGCGGGTGGGACGGGAACATTATTGGCGGGTGACAGGATGTGATATCAGCTGATAAGATTCGACAAGATGCTTCCGAAGGGGATGGTCACTCAGTCCATAGTGCGAGACACAGCAGCAGTGGGTCGTTGATTCCGAGCAGTGAAATAGGGAGTGAGACGAAAACATTATAGATGGGTGACAGGATGTGATATCAGCTGATAAGATCTAATAATGGGCATTAGAAGATTGCCATTGTTTCTGTAATCAATTCAGAGTTTTCAGAACGCACGACTTCCTGTGAAAAATGGGATTGACGACCACAAGCTATTGCTCCATCGAATACGGGAAATAGCCAAGTACGAGTACGTGATAATGATAGGAAATGGTCCTGATGTGTCTAAAGTTGTTCCGCGGTTTCCAAACTACGTCGGAGGAGTCTCTTCCTACAAAGGCAGGTTTTTTCCGGTGGTGGCTTTAGAGCTCCAAAACCCAATCTAACTACATCTTTGAGTTATATGAAATTTGATTTTTCGTATTCAGAAGATGCTTGAGTTACAGATAGCCATGCAGGGGTAACCTACTCATATAAATTGATGGAAGTTTATCATCTGGGCCCTCGCACCATATATTACAAGTACCAACTGAGGGAAGCGGGTAAACATAAATCAAAGCTTATCCACTTGCTATTGTACGACTGGTGAGTTTAGCAAGAACTTGCGTCGACTCTTCTTCGCCACTAGTTTGAACAAGATATACATCAGAGCAGAAGAAATTAGATGGACCAGTTAGTTGTGGAGCACCGCGATTTAGCGCCCTGCCCTTAGTGTTAGCAGCGGAAAATGACGGTGATTTTTGAAAGATGATTGAAGGTTGGGAGCCGGTTTGAGAGCGGGCCCGAACGGCAACCTTGCGCATGTTAAGGGCAGTGCCTACGTTCAATTGATTTCAGTCTGCCTTCATGAGCAGTTAGTCAGGTCCGCAGAGGCAGCCATCGCACCACTTCTGCGACGCAAACACGACTGAGGAGACACACGATGCCGCTCACTGGCCAATTAGAAACAAAGAAACAAATATTGATGAAAGGAATACACCCAGCATCACAGATGATCCGTTTCACCTGAGGCGTTTGGTATGTGAGCAACAGGATATGACCCGTAAGACGGAACTGGTATTTCACTGAGCTCGGGTTACACTCGAAATTCAATGAACACCAGTACAGTCCAATTAGAAACAAGGAAACAAATATTGGGAAAAGGGATACACTCAACTCACAGATGATCCGTTTCGCCCGTTGTAGAAAACATGGTAACCATTAGTGGCAATAAAGGATCTGTTGGCATTTTTAAAGCAAATGTTAAGAATGTGCATTCTCTTTATAATGAGATCGTGTTCTGAATTTGTGAACATGTCTGTAAAATCCGCAGCGTAAATTTTGAGATTTTTGAATGTGATGTAGTTTGTGAGTGATATTAACATTACTAATAGACCAGTATGTCTTGATTGTCCTATTGCGATTCTGCATTACTTTAGCGTAGTTAATAAAGTGATTCTTGAGATGTGTGAAAACTATACGTTGTTCCTGGGCCAAAGGCTTGACACTACTGCTATGTGCACCTGTGATGTATCTGAACTTCACTGGATTCTTATGTAGCTTTGGTAAGGCATATATAGTAGGTATTTCTGCATCAATGAATATATTGATACTATTCTTTACACAAAGGAATTTGTGCTTCAATATTAAACAACACTTGTTTGTATGAGGCGTTAATTCATATGTGTTATTACTTTTATCATAGACAATTGTGTGGTTGGCAGCATCATAAGAGATGCTCATTTCATACATTATGTTCAAAAGGTAGAGCTTCTTGCAGATGATGCCATAATTATTGTTTGCTTTGTCTAGAGGATAGAACACATATTTTTTTTCATGATATTGTTCGATTGAGCTGTAAGGTATGTGTTCTATATTTCCAATATTAGCCTTTGTGAGGAGAGTTTTGCTTTGTCATGGTAACATGAACGAAAATGTTTCTGTTATAGATTAACCTTGTGATTGCTAACTTTGTATTTACATTTCAAATAATTCGTGACCTTGATGAGTGTATCTTCAAACACCATCTTAACTTCTTGTCTGTTATACCTGTGTCTGACCTATACTTGGTCCCTTTACTCAGCAATCGTCTGAAACTCTCTTCTTTTATAAGATTTACATTTCCTGTGATATCGAGCGTCGAGATCTTTCAACACTTTGTTGTGATTGCAAACTTTGCCATTGTGTTGTTTACTTGTAAATAATTCTGATTGGGGTGAATTCACTACTCCTTCCATTATCGCTGAGTAGTATATCTCTGACAGTGCGTGAATTGAAGATCTTCTTGAAGGGTATTCCATTGAATACTCTGCTTCTGAAACTGACCTCTACATTGTATAGTTCTTTCTAGTCATTTCTTCTGTGGTAGTGTCAAAATGAAGCTGAGCTAGCAGCCAAAATAATTAATACCTAGTCTTATTACTAGCTCTATGTAAGAAGTCTGCAGACATGGAGAGTTCAAGTAGCTTATTAACCTCTTCTTTACGCAGACTCTTAGGCATTCTGTAGTACTGAATATTTTTGAGTGTTTCACTATTACTTGTTATCTCTGATATAATATTACCAGTCGGATCGCCCGGCTGTCGCCGGGCGCTCCTCCTTTTGTGACATAGCCCGGCTTTGCCGGGCCATGCAGATTTGCCTCGTGCTAAGTTAAGGATCCTTGACCAACCACACTGTTCAAAGAAATCTTCTGCATCAGCAAAACTGAAAACCAGCGCTCGTCCCGTCAAGATGCAGCAGCCGCAGCATCACAGAAGGAGAAGAGCCGGCCTTAGCCAGCGATCCGACTGGTACGTTAATAACCTACACGGAAATAGTGCAGCTTGTTAAGACAGCCACTGAAGCAGCCTATAATTTATGCAATCTGTCTTCCTAGCGTCTTGCTTTGGAACGCACTCCCGCATTTAGCAGTGGAACCTTTTAAATGGCCCTCACTAAAGTTGCTGATGGAAGATAATTGTGGTAAGAGTGATAAAGTCAGTTGCTGCTGTTCATAACATCTCTGTAAACCACATGCATTTGGAATAGAGCTGGCTTAGCGGTCACATGATGTCGTTACTAATAAGCAGAGGAATGAGTTCTGTTGGAATCACTGAGATCGTTATACTTGAGTCATATCGATCGCATTGTTGTTGTGTACGGTGAGGCGGATTTTCCCATGTTACCTTGTCACTTTTAGCTCCTATCACTTCCGTACCCGCCAATAACACTCCCGTCCCGTATCAGTATCATATCACCCTGTATCGCCTCTCGGATCCGAGGTCCCACTGTTGCTGTAACCTGCGTTACGAATTTGATGACCCTCCCCTTCCGAGGCCCCTTATCTGATCTCATCAACTGTTATCACTTTCTGTCACCCGCCAATAATGTTCCCGTCCCTATGTCGCCTCTCGGATCCAAGGACCCACTGCTCCTGTGAGCCGCACTATGAATTTGGTAGTCCTTCCCTTCTAATGCCCATTATCAGATCTTGTCAGCTGATATCACATCCTGTCACCTGCCAATGATGTTTTCGTTCCACCCCTTATTTCACTGCTCGGAACCAGCGTTCCACTGCTGCTGTGGCCCGCACTGACTGGGTGAATATCCCCTTTGAACGCCTCTTATTGAATCTTATCAACTGATATCAATCCTGTCACCCACCAATGGTGTTCCCGTTACACCCCCTCCATAACTTCCTGGAATCAACGTCTCTCTGCCGCTGGGACAGGTGTTATGAATTTCGTGACACACACACAAGCACACACACACTTGGCGGATTATATACGAGGGGGGGGACCAAAAAAAAGTCATTCCGGCCGAGTCACATAGGAGCGAAGTTTTCGCAGCCCAGACAGAGGAAGTGGATATGAGTACCAGGGCGGAAGATACCCAAGATCTTCCTCTATAAGCAGGAGCTGGCTGCTGCCATTCACCTTCATGTACACCAAAATATGAAGTCATCTCCAGTCGCGGCCTGAGTGGAGAACGCCTTTGAAATTCACGTGGCCTCCAAACAGCTGCGGAGCTTCTTGAATGGAATCACCAACTGATAGCTACCTGGAGACCAGTACTCTTGATCTGCAAGACAACATCGAGCAGCTCCAGCAACGTCGCTACGTTCCAGGACATCATCTTCACCCCATTCACGCAAGGCGCGGCGTTGATGGTGTGGACTGGCCGTACTGGAATGGGAAGACCGATATTTCTTTATAGACCCGACTGAAGGTGAGCGCTGGCGCTTACATCAAGTAACTCGAGAATATCCTCCCTACATGTGGTCGCCCGCAGAGACCTTGTGCTGCTACAGGTTTGGGTGCCACCACACGGAATCGAAGGGTTTTGGAAAAACTCCCGCCTACTTCGAATGGAAGGGCGTTTCGTACCTGATGAAGATGTAGTATGAAATATGTCCCCTGACCTGAACCACTCAATTACCTATGGGGGTGGTCAACAGGGTGGTCTACAGTGGCGGAGAAATCAACGATCTCGCTCAACTCCGGTACCCACTCACTTTTGCGCGGCCGAATCTCTCGATGGCGCTCCTACAGAAGGCTGTAGCGGAGTGTCATTGTAGTACTTAATGTGCTCTTTAATATGGTAGTAAAAATGTCCGATAAAAATTCAATAAAGTGTAACTTAGCACCTTGAAAGTCATGGAGGCAAAATGACTTTTTTTTGGCCCCCCCCCCTGTATAGTAGGATCGTATGTGTTTACTTTAGTCTTTTTACCATTTTTTTCCTCTACTGGTCCTTTGTTTTGTAATTTTAAGACAGAAGAAGGGATGATTGCCCTTGTACATGAGAGGATCGTCTATATTTTTTAAGTTACCATATCCCTTTATGTTATCATTTAATCCAAAAGGATATGGTGTCATTAGAAGTTTGATCCAAAATAGTTCCTTTTCACCTAATGCAGTTTTATCGTTAGACTTCATACAGTCTAGTACTTGTACCGTTATGCCCTCATTTATAGAGGTGATTATATAATGGACGTCACACGATTATATAATGGACGTCCTCCTCACGTGGCCCCCGTACCTTCCTGGAAACTTTGTACTGCTACAACGTTGAGTGCCACCACGAGAGAGCAAAGGGAGTTGGAGAAACACTCGCCTACTTGGAATCGAAGGGGGTTGAGTACCTAAAGAAGATGAAATATTCAAGTAGGTCGCCTGACCTAAATTCCCAATTACCCGATTCAAGCGGAGTCCATTAGGGTGGTCTACGGTGGCGGAGAGATCGGCTATCTCGCTGATCTCTTCACCAGATCGCGGTCGCGTGCCTGACTCTCTCGATGGCGCTCGTCCAGAGCTGTAGCGGAGTGTCACGATAGTATTTGATCTGCTCTTTAATATGGTGGTAAAAGAGTTAGATCAGAATTCAATGCAGTGTAACTTATAGCGCCTCGAAAGTCAATGAAGAAAAGTGACTTTTTTGCCCCCCCCCATATATAGTAGGTTAGTGAAGGTTTTTATCACAATCAAAAAAGATTTTCAGACTG